CGTGCACATGAAGCATTCAGTAGCAGCAGCCAGAAAATTAAAAAGTTACACTCTCAAACTTACTTTGGGGGGCCAAATCCTCAGCACTCTGTCAAAGTCAATGGAGTCACACAAACATAAAACTGGTGTTGCAGAGCAGAGAATCAGGCCTGCGAATTTAACAGCCATCTTTATGGGGATGGAGGTGGGGGAAGGATGTGATTTCTAAAAACAAAACAAGACAGTCTTTATTCATTACCAAGGGCTAAAAGGAGGTGCAAGGTCCTAGCAGGTGTAAAGCGGGGTAGCTTTGGCTTCCATGGAACTACTTTGATTTACATCAGTTGAGGATCTGATCTAGCTTTCTTCAGGAGTATTAATGCTAGTCAACAAGAACATATGTTAATGCTTTTCAAAGCCTGGCTTGGTTGATTTGTTTTTTAAATAAACTTTCCTATTCATCTAAAGCAAGCTTATAGTTGAATGTTTTACTAATATGAGCAGTTATCTTGTGCATTCTAAATTCAGTTTTATAAACCAATCTGTTAACAATGAGTTTCCAAGATTGCGAAATTACTCCATTACCTGGATTAAATGGGCAAAAAGATTTTTTCTTTGCGAATTCTTTTCTTAAACATGATTTCTTCTGGTCAAAACTGATTTCAAATGCTAATTAGAATTTTAAATGCAACTGAGCAAATTTTAGAATGCTTTATAAAAGCTCTGAGCACTGTTCAGAGGCAAGCAGCTAACTGGCACATCACTTATGTGGGCAAAATGCTGGCATATGCCACACACTAGATATTTTGACTGGGATTTTTGGCGACATCAGTCAGGTAGGGAATTGCAAATACACTAATTAGTAACCATTCCTTCCCAGCTGAGCCAAATGACTCCTAACTTCAGTGCACCTGGGAAAGAGAGATCCTCGGAGAGGCTTAGCACTGTTCAGCTGCAGCAATGGGGGAGTGTGAGGCAAGAAATAAAAATAAATAAATTGTAAATAGAAAAAAAGAACAAAGAAGCAATTTCTCCATGTCCCTTCCTGCAATGCCTTAAAAATCCATGGCCATTAGACAGAATGGGTAGGGATGGTGTCTCTAGCCTCTGTTTGCCAGAAGCTGGCAATGGGCGACAGGGGATGGGTCATTTGATTCCCTGTTCTGTTCATTCTCTCTAGAGCACCTGGCATTGGCCACTGTCAGAAAACAGGTTTCAGAGTGGTAGCCATGTTAGTCTGTATCAGCAAAAAGAACGAGGAGTCCTTGTGGCACCTTAGAGACTAACAAATTTATTTGAGCATAATCTTTCGTGCTCAAAAGCCCACAAAAGATTATGCCCAAATAAATTTTAGTCTTGAAGGTGCCACAAGGACTCCTCATTGTTTGTTTGTTTTTTGTTTTTTGTCAGACAGGATACTGGGCTAGATGGACCATTGGTCTGACCCAGTCTGGCCATTCTTATGATGATGATCTTGTGTCTAAATAGCCTAATCATTTTTTAACTTCAAGAACTCAAACCAAGAACCTGTGTCTTTCATCTTTGGGTGTCTTAAGGGGAGAGGCAGAAAGATGCCTATATGAGCTGTCTTAAATCTTCCAGATGTACACCTCAATATAGATGGATTCCCAAGTGGAATAGAGAATATGGACAATGTGGGGACATGGCTTGGGTACCCCACATCTCTACAATACATGGCTTTTGGAATGGCTCTAGTAGCCAGACACAACTTAGAACAGCCTGCAATCTGTACAGAATGCGCATTATCAACATCATTCAATCTTAATAGCATTTATCTCATAGCTTAATTTGCATACTTGGGTGCTGAATGGAATTTGGGACCCCAAGTTAGGTACCTAAACTGAGAAGTTGGTGACTTTTTTTACAAGGAAGCATTGCATAACTAGACATTATGTCAAAGTAGCAGCAATCTGAGGTTCATTTATGAAGTGCCAGCAGAACATGACACTGACTCTGTTTCCAGTGGTTAAAGCAGACTGAAACCAGAGGGCCCTCACTACGGCATCCAAAAACAAGGGGGCACGGTGGGGCCGCATTGTACCCCAAGCAACGGAGAGGAGCGGGAGCTCCCTTCTGCTTTTATCAGAGGAGGGGGAGCTGTGATAGATAATCTCAGTCAAAGTTACAGTGTGGAAGGTAGGAATGAGCAGAAACCCAAGAATTCATCTCTAACTTCGCTTTGTGTGCATGTAGTAACATTCACAGATGTGTTGCAATAGTTGTGCCTGCCATCCGCTGGCCAGAAAGTGGAGTGGACATGTCCAATGGGCCTTGTCTTATTCCGGACCTTGTTGTGCAGGCATCTTGCAAGCTGAGACTTGAACGGTGCCCTAAAGACCTGCTCCCCCAAGGGTGCTTTTCTGAAGCTGGTCCAGAAGGAGTCCTGCAGAGTGCGTCTTAGGTGAAAGTTGCTCTTTGAGCTACTCTCTGGCACAAGACTAAGGCAAGCAATTGTAGAGCAACAGAGGTGGTTGGATCTTAGATACCAGTTAGTCACGTTATAAACAAGATGATGATAGATGGGGTGAGAGCACAGGCTTCTGTCCTCAAGACGTCATCCAGTGTTTTGATCTCATAAAATTACATAACTCTTTAAAAACTAGATCACAGTAATCTAGCTAACAGTTTATGCTAGCACAAACTAGTTCAATTCAAATCCACACAAAAAACAATGATACTAGAGGTTTGCTTTCTCTTGTGTAATATTTTACACACAGCTCCTGTAGCTTAAATAGATCTCTCCCTCTAAAACTTACGAAGTTCCATTTCAATCTCTGTGATTTTTTTTTTATTCTTGTCAGTTTAAAGCACTCATTCAGCTATAATGTCTATGATTAGTATATACTGAGAACACTTTAAAGTATTCAGAAACAGTCTGTTTTGACTATCATTATATGCAGAAAGAAAAGGAGTTACAGGCAAGAGGCCATTTCATTCCGATGAACAAAGAACTAATTGTACTATGGAGCCTTATCTGTACATTGTATGAAGTAGTTTGTGCTAGGGAAGGCAAAGTCAAAGAAATGCACAGTATTTGGCAACTAAACAGATATGTGTCTGTGTAATTTTAAAAATACCAAAGCAAAACACCCCACTGCACACGATTCTCATGGGAACAGGATGAGAGAAGAAATAAATGACTGATATTCGTCATCTTGTTTAATGCACTACTGGAAGACACTCTGATAGTATGGTGAAGAGCACAGTATAAAAAATTCTAGAGAATAGAATATAAAGGGCCATCATTTAAAAATTGGGAGCTGAAAGTTGAGCTCCTAAACCTCTATTTAGGTGTATAAATTGGACATCTTATTTCATTGAAATCAATGGGGGAAAGATTCTCAGAACCTTTGAAAATAAAGCCACTTTTATTTAGATGCCTAAGAATGGATTGAGGTGCCAAACTTTTGTCACCCAAGTTTGAAATTTTGGCCTGAGGGGTATGACTGCCACTTGTCGACATGCCAAGGGTAAAGCTAGCTGGGGTAACTTGTGAAGAGCCATGAAGATGTAGCAGCACAGACATCAGCATGGGCTAGCTATCTGAGCAATTACTTGGAGTTCAGGGTGGACTTGTATAGCCCTCAGTGGAACTCAGGCTGCCCTGGCTTCACTGCTCCAGTACCTGGGTAAGGAGACTAGAGCCAGCTCGGGTACATCTCCACAAGCTGCAATCGCTCCCCGGGAGTTCAGTGTAGATGTACCGATAGACTACAGTGATGCTCAAGAAAGGGGGAAAAGTCTACTTCAGTTCTTCTGGCATCATTCTGTTTGCAGATATGTTTTACATTCTTTACTTTGCAAAAAAAAGTCCAGAGTTTACAATTGCCTCATGCTATGTGCTTTCCTGACAGCTGAATTATAATAATAATTTAAAAGTGCTATTGTTTGTTTGGACGTAATAGGCATAGGGAAGTGTTTAAAAGCAAAAGCCGTTCAGTGGGAAATCTGGTCACCAAACTATAAGAGAGAATTCTCTAAGGCCAAATATTAAAAACTCTGAATTTTCTAGTAGGAAACCTCCCTAAGTACATGTAAACTCAGCATATGAGTGTGAATTATGAAAAAAAGATTGCTTTAGTTTATGCAATTCTAGCCCCTGGAAGCAGCAACCTCAAAAGCTTACTTTATTTGGTATAATCCTGTCAGAGAGGATTTGGCTATTCATTTCCCTTTATGAAGGTTTCAGTTCTAAACACCAGAAACACAAATCTATAACCTTAGCAGAAACAGCTGTAATATCAACAGGAGAGAAATTAAATATGAGGAAGATTCCTCCAGGCTATATTTCCCACGCGTGTCCTATCAATTTTGCACCTGTCTGTCTGATCTCTTCAAATATTGCAACTGCTACAGCATTATTTTTACGATTATTAATCTCACAAGTAGACACAAAGAGGGCCATTTCCTGTTCAGTTAACAACAAACCATATCCTGTAGAATGATCACTGAATACCTTCAGTAAGGCGATTATCTGTAATGCCTGCTTGAGTTAGCAAACTTGTAATGCCCATTTGCAAGCAGTCAGATACATTATAGTAAATCTTAATTTTGCAAAACGACAAAATCCCAATGATTTTGTGTAAACCTTCAAGTTGGTCAAATATGTGTCTGAATAAAAATATAGGTCCTAGTTCTCAACTGCTTTGCACCTTGTGTTGTTACATACATCTCTGCAGAGAGAATGCAGAGTAGGTGTGAAAAGCTACCAGACAATATCAGGGCCTGATTCTCCACAGCCTTGCTTCTTGTGCCCGACTTTGCCCCTGTGCAAAATATTTGCAAGGTGGGTATAAGTGCTTGTGGTGTTTTGCAACCACTTTGCACAGGTGTAAATGCAGACAGGATATGCCTGGGAGAGGAGAATCAGGCCCATAATAGCTCCCGAAGCCTCTGGAGCAAATACCAAAGAAACCAATATGTAACCTCACAAAGTAACCAAACTTCAGCAACCACTGTGCGTTTGTCTATTGACCGACACAAGAAAATGCAACACTTACCCAAGGGTTGTCATGGTTACAATAGTGTACCAAAAAGAAGCTGGTATGCTGGTGAATTTGCTGGCTGAAGACCCTTTCTCTGCATAAAACATCACAGTAGCAAAGATGATGATTGCCATAGTGAGGGAAAAGAGAAGAAAGCCAAGCTCCGAGGCACAGCTCTTCAGAGTGTAGCCCAGGATTCTTAAGCCTTGGGAATGGCGGGAGAACTTGAAAATCCTGAAAACCCTGAAAACCCTTAATGTCACAAAGGCTCCGCTGACGTCCTCGTTGTTAGTCATCACCAAGCCAATGTAATAGGGCATGATGGCCACCACATCGATGATGCTCATGACACTCCTCATGAACCTGTAGCGACTCGGGGCTGCAAAGAGCCTCATAAGGTACTCAACAGTGAAAATCATAACGCAAGCTGTGTCCAAGCAGAAGAAAGCCACGGCGTACCTCTCCCCACATGGAAGCTCCTTGTTCCCAGGCACTGTGCCACATGGAACGGTTTCCACCACATTAGTGATCACTGAGACGGCAATAAAGAAGCCAGTGACGTAGTAGAACACTAAGGCTAAGGTGCTGGTGTGGGGGTTCTCAAAGGCTCGCCACATGGTCTGCCGGAGGTTCAAAGATGGCATGGAACCTTCTTGGTTGTTCTCTGAGTCATTGTCATCCATCAGCCGCTCAACATTTTCCCGCTTCCTGTCTTTGTACTCTTCATAGCAGCAGTCCCCAATGATTTCAGGTAGGATCCCATAGAAGGCAAGCTCCTCATCATAGGCAGAAATGCACTCGTACCTTGGGTAATGCAGCTTGCCAGTTCTGTAAAAGTTTAAGATGCACCTAAAGACTTCAGGATCCCGGTCGAAAAAGTATTCCTTGGTGTCTTCATTGAAGAAGAACTCTTTCTCAGTGCTGCCCAGGAGCGTGTCCGGATACCTCTCCAGTGTAGTCCTCCAGGTCTGGAAGCGCCTCCCACTCACGTTCAGAATGATCAGCTCATCCTGCCTCTTGTTTTTCTCAGTTGGGGCCAATGGCATAGGGCAGTTGGCCACTGGCATCCATCCTATGGCAGCTGCCCTGGCAAAGGGCAACCATGCTGCTACGCCCGCCGCCATGATGGCTCCAGGCCTCGGTGTGGGAGAAGACTATTCTTCAGCTTCTAAAAGGAGTCTGGAGTCAGATCAATTCCATCTAAAAATATAATATAAAAACAGTCAATGGGGGATGCTTTGCCTTCATTATTTTTTTTTTCTAAAAGACAATATCAGGACAACCTGGATAAGAACATAGGAGCTTTATGACAACTGAGAAACTAAGCTGTTATAGCCTTCCATTTTAGAAGAATAATCATTGATCATGTGCATCTTTTAATGAGGGAAGGTTATGGCATTATTATAGATTTTAAATTTTTGAATTGCAAATGATTCTTCTTTAAATTAGCATAAACAATTTAATTTGTTTCCTTACAAACCAGACTAATCCATGATTCCACAGGTGTAATCATTATATGTTCATCTCTCTGTTTACAGCTGCCACGAAAGAATTGGGGACTCTGATGAAAAATCCTGGGAGTTCACCCAGTGGAATTACTTATTACTAAAAACCCTAGATAGATCAAGTCGGACTCCTGTTAAGCAATAAACAACCCTCAAACTACAGTGAAACTTTCATGAAGAACTATGCCAGTTAGTAACCCGCATCTCAAAAAACAAATTTAAATCTTCCATGGTTTTCAGTACAATTTTATTAACCCTTAGTTAGAAACCTCTGCTAGGCTACAGATTGTTTGATGGTCCCATGAGTGGTTGCTTGAGACAGGCTTTACGGTAGTGAAATATTGCACTACTCCAATGAGCAAGAGGAAAATTCAAACTCTGCTCCCAAGGCCCATGCCCTGTATTGTTCAGGATGTCTGAGCTTCAGAGGTATGTCTGTGGTGGGGTATGTGAAAAGGAGCCCACTAAGGGTTAAACTATTAACTGTGTCTGATCAAGGAAGAGAAGAGCAAACTGGATGAAGCATCCAAACAAAACCTTGTCATCTTTCTTTTACCAGAATGTTACCTTGACTGTCTGTCTAACAAAGGCAAAAGTCTTTTAACCAAAGGGTGGAGTGCATTCACTATAATTGCAATTATTAGAGGCCCATCTAATGGAGGGAAAAGATCTCAGAGTTTGGAATACTCTGCTGTTGTAAATTGGCATAGCTCTACTAAAGCCAATGCAGCTACACTGATTTATAACAACTTAGAATCTAGCCCTGAATTTTCTTGTTCTTTTCTGTAGTCAGGCCTTTTGCTTTATTCAACCTTTTTTTGTCATTTGTCTATGGTTTCACTTCCTTAATGTTTCTAACACTACCCTACAAATATTTGGTGACAGGTGTCACATCATAGAAGCAGTACTAGGGGACCTACCTAAAGTCTGTTAAGTCAATGGAAAGACCCACATTGACTTCAGTGGCCACTGGGGTAAGCCCTGGAAGCTTCCATAGTAAATTATTACACTAAGAAGCATCTTAATTCTATGAATAGTTCCATTCCAGTTACTGGGGCTGTGGCATTATTGATCTCAACAGGTCATCAAAATACTGAATGAAAAACAGTAGTGGTTTCACCACAGATTGATTCTGACTAAACTGCTCCCAAAGATGCTTTTTTTGTGTAGTAAGCATTAACATCCATCATTTTAATACAAACCATCTTGCTGTACAGTTTTGTTTCTAAGGACAATTGAAATCCCTGGGACAAGCATCCTACTCATGCCAGCAGAAGTTTTATAATTAGGGTTGGTAGAATAAACTGTCGTGATGCTGCTCCCAGAAGGATGCTGTCAGTACAGTAGTGGCATGAGAACCCATATCCCACACTATTTTATTATGCAGTGTTTGCTCAGCATTGCGATGCGGTGTTTTGCTCTCTTATTCTAAAAAGTGAATTTAGTTCTGTAGAACGTCCTTTTGTTTATCTCCAGAACAGGCAGAGCATAACAGTATAAACTTCATTCACATTGCTTTAGATGTGCTGCAATCCTCAACTGCAGAGACCACTTCTAAGGGCTAGGCTGGACCTATCCACCAAAGCTGCCACTTTCCACTGAGGGCAGTGGTGGATTTTGTGATGGAAAACTAAAACTACGGAGGGGCCACCAAGGCTACCAAAGCCTTTCTAAGCTGGTACAGTGCCATGGGATGGTAACAACTTTACTCATTATCCAGTTGGGTTAAATGGTGGATAAGCAACAAGGAGATCTAGTCTACATCTCCCCTTACCCATCCCCTAAGCAATACAGACCCCTTCTCTGTATTATTTTAACTAAAAAAGGTCTTATTGACACTGAGGTCATCCTACTGGAAAAGTATGGAACACCCCTGGATTTTTGCAGTAACAGGGCTTGGAAGCCTGAGTTTCTCTCAAGTCCAGTGGGGCATCTCCTTACAAACCTCACACATACGTTATAGATCCCTGGGTGCAAGTTCCAGCTCACCTCACTTTGCAGCCAAAGGCATTATAAGTGCTTAAATAGCTTTAAGACACCATAACTCATTAATAGCTTACAAAAGTTAAACTTTTTGTATTATTTTTAAAAAGTCCTTCCAGGCTGATTGTGTTTATGGAGAAATTTTAAACTGCCACTATCTGAAATGGCCAAGAAATTAAAACACAAGAGGTGGCTGAGTATCTGTCCATAAAGGTTCATTACTCAGTTACCATATCTCAGGGGCCTCTTCAGCAGATGGACTTACATTAGGAACTTCTATGTGCTCAGGGTTTACTTCTCAGTTGTATTATGTCAGTAGCGAAGTAGCTCTGTGTCTTAGTCCAGATATAGATATAGATATACACACACGCACACACACAGAGTGGTGGAGTCCTTTTTAAAAATGCAAAAACAAAAGTTGTTTTGTGGCTAACTTTTGAGTGAGTTTGTGTAAATGAGGTGATGTGAGACGTTTATGGGAAGGTGAAGTATTTTCATCACTGAGGAATGGCTTCTTTTTGTCTCAGATCTTCAGTCAACAATACCGTCAGTGAGTAAACAGGAGAGAGAGGTTTTATTTGGGCTTGTGAACTGTGCAGGCTAAGTCCATAGTGATAAGATATAAAACATCGCATTTATTAGCACCTTCATCTTGCTGTAAACTAACCTGAGGTTCTAATGGAAATACTTCAGTGCCTATAATAGCAAGCAATGGGCTGGTGGAAATAATTTGCACAAGCCACACTATTTTAAAAGTAAAAATAAACCAATATATAAGCAGGTACGTATTGTACATTGTTTATACATAAGTAAGCACATGCACATGTTTGTGTATTTATACATGTATTTCAATTCTTCTGCAGCAAATTTTCATGTATAATTTGAAAGAAACTAGTTAGTAAAGGCTCAGTAGCCCGCTTGTGGTATTTAGAAAAGCTTGTGTATAAGATAAAAGGATTTGGCTCTTTTGACTTAATTAAATGTCAACATCATAGAAGCACCCAGACTGTTTTTTTCCCTAAGTAACTACCCTGCCACCCAAACTGTATAAACAAAACTGCAAGCAAAGCCTCTTTCATTCTCTAAAATGACCTTTTCTCCAAGACTCCCAGGTTGCTGATCTATCTCTCCCAGATCATTTGAGTTACGGCTAGCTTTACTGGATGATTTTATTCTAATATCAAAACACCAAACCAGCAGCACTCTTGGATCAATAATGCATTGGAAGATAATTTTGTAGAACAAGTTTATTTCTTGTCACCCAAAGGGAGGGGAGGGAATAACCAATGGTTTTTCATCTTATTAACTGCTGCCAGCAATGTCAACCTTATTAGATGCCTCTGGACATTCTTGTGTTAAAAACCCACACAATCTCCTGGTGTTTTCTATGGCACAAGCCGATCCGGATAACTTTAACAAAATGATAAGCTGTGAGATTCAGGATGAGACTGGGATAATGGGAGCTAAGAGGAGAGAAATGACACTTGGCACACTGTCTCCCCCCCCCCTTTTTTTTTAATCCTTTATGTGGGTCAGGCTTAAGCAGCAAAGATCTTTCATTTAAAATGCAAAATATGCCAGTCAAAGCTTCAGCATCTTCTTTCGCCTGTGTACTCCCCTCCCACCTCTCAAATAATAAAACTACCCGCTAATGTTTGCAAAAAGAAAAGGAGTACTTGTGGCACCTCACGAAAGCTTATGCTCAAATAAATTTGTTAGTCTCTAAAGTGCCACAAGTACTCCTGTTCTTTCTGTGGATACAGACTAACACGGCTGGTACTCTGAAACCGCTAATGTTTGCAACTGATCAGTCAGCGAGAGATTTACAGCAAAAGCATGGAAAGCTACAGCAACAGGCTTAGAATAAACGCATGGAAACTTCTACCCTTCCACCCCCGACGCAACGAAAAGCCCCATCTTGCTGGATCACAGCAATGCCTTACCTTGCAAGGGAAGAAACTCTCATCCCCAAAATGCAGGGCTAGATCTAGGGGGCGTTGGGAAACCAATCCTCAGGATAAAGGGTGAATTGTGCTGTCTGCCTCTCAAATCTCTCTCTAAATGCAGGCAGGAGTAATCAGAAAGTATAATCAGCCCTGGGGAAGTAGATAGAAACGACTAAACAGCGTCTCCCTTGTTATTGCTGAGGTTGAGTGAGTCTCTGTCTCCCTCCCTCTCCCCCAAGCTTATTTCTGTGGGGGGGGGGGGGGTTCTCTTTTTTTTTTGCTTGTCCTTCAACTCCAGCTTTGCTCTTGCTGTCTGGTCAAGCTGGAAATGGTACCCAGATGCTGAAGAATCCGCTCTCTTGGATGTAGCAGGGATGATGGACTGAGCCTGGAGTTCCCCTCCCTCCCTCCCTCTCTGAGACCCAGAGAAGCAGGCTGTAAAGCAAGATGCTGGAGAGAGGCGGTGTGATCTAACAGAGAGACACCAGCAAATGGAGTCACTGAATACACACCAGCCCTGACACTGCATGCTAATGTGCCCAGCACTGGGTGGGGAGTATGTGGAGGAACTTTACCGTTACCTGCTCGAGCTTTCCCAGTTTGTTACCAGCTCCGCCTGTCCCCCTCCCCGGCCCCGCCGCACAGGGGTCTCTTCGGAAGAAAGAATAAACTCTCTCTCTCTCCATCGCCTCTCTCAGGAAGGGTGGGGGAGAGGGGCCAAATCTTTCTTTCTTGGAAGCCCCCCGCCCCTCTTAACAAATGGAAACACCCACATCAGAAGCACCCGCTCTTGCCCTGCCACGCGGGTGAGTGATGCTCCGCAGCAAGAGTTAGGGTCCTTCCCCAAAAAGCAGGGCCAATACATACATGGGAGAGAGGGGCCCGGCTGCGGTGCCATGGTGCGTCATCTCCCCCGGGGGCGCCGAGGGTACTTAAGCCGGGAGTCAGGAGCTCAGTCGCCACAAGCTTCAAAGAGCCGCCGCCAGAGCGAGCCGCCCGGGCGCGCCGGGAAAGGAAGCGGGCGGCCGCAAGGCTCTTTCTCTAGCAGCCCTTGACGCCCCAGCATCGGGTCTCCACCTTTCAGAGCGCCCGGGGGCAGCGCTGTCCCCTCCCCGCCTGACCCGGCCTGCCCCGGGCAGGAGCCGTGGTGCCCTGCGCTGCCCTGCCGGACTCTCCACCTCCGCCCCCCCCCCCCCGGGCAGGAGCCGTGGTGCCCTGCGCTGCCCTGCCGGACTCTCCACCTCCGCCCCCCCCCCCCCCCCCCGGGCAGGAGCCGTGGTGCCCTGCGCTGCCCTGCCGGACTCTCCACCTCCCCCCGCCCCCCCGGGCAGGAGCCTTGGTGCCCTGCGCTGCCCTGCCGGACTCTCCACCTCCGGCCCCCCCCCGGGCAGGAGCCGTGGTGCCCTGCGCTGCCCTGCCGGACTCTCCACCTCCGCCCCCCCCGGGCAGGAGCCGTGGTGCCCTGCGCTGCCCTGCCGGACTCTCCAGCTCCGGCCTCCCCCGGGCAGGAGCCTTGGTGCCCTGCGCTGCCCTGCCGGACTCTCCACCTCCGCCCCCCCCCCCGGGCAGGAGCCGTGGTGCCCTGCGCTGCCCAGCCGGACTCTCCAGCTCCGGCCTCCCCCGGGCAGGAGCCGTGGTGCCCTGCGCTGCCCTGCCGGCCTCTCCACCTCCGGCCTCCCCCGGGCAGGAGCCGTGGTGCCCTGCGCTGCCCAGCCGGACTCTCCACCTCCGCCCCCCCCCCCGGGCAGGAGCCGTGGTGCCCTGCGCTGCCCAGCCGGACTCTCCACCTCCGCCCCCCCCCCGGGCAGGAGCCGTGGTGCCCTGCGCTGCCCTGCCGGACTCTCCACCTCCGGCCCCCCCCGGGCAGGAGCCGTGGTGCCCTGCGCTGCCCTGCCGGACTCTCCAGCTCCGGCGGGCGCCGGGCGCTAGCGCCGCCATCCAGCCGCTGCAGGCCTGGGGCGGCGGGTGCGCACCGGGGGTGGGGTCCTTACCCCAGCCGAGCGGGGGGCGCAGGGGCTCGGGCAGGCGCAGCTGCAGCCCCCGGGCTCGGGTGTCTCCCCTCCGCCGCCCGGGCTCACCGCGGCGGCGCCTCTCGGCAGGCAGGTGGCGCCGTCCCCCCAGCCTCGCCAGCCCGCCTTCAGCACCACGCCGCGGCGGACAGCTCCGCCGGGGAGCCGGGGGACGCCCAGGGGGCCCGGCGGGGCTGGGTCTGCCCCTCAGGATTGGCCCGGCTTGCGGGGGCGTCCCCCCTAGGATGTGAGCCCCTGCTTGCTGCGGTAGTGAGGTGAGCTGCGCCGGGCGCCCCGTCTGCAGAGCCGGCAGGAGCGGGGCTTGGGGAGAGTGTCAGGTCTGCCCCCCACCCCGCTTCCCTCGGCAGTCCCCCCAACTCCAGCCAAGGTTTGGCAGCTCCCGCCCGGCTCCCACCGCAAACAGCTAGCAAAGCCCCGGTTTCCCCTCCCTCCACTCGGCAGGGTCAGTGCATGGGGCGAGTTCATCCTGCACCAGAGTGATGGACACGGCACAGGGCCCCGAATAGACTAGAACAGAATCCAGCTTTCCCACAGCCCACACCGAGTTCAGAATGAGCCCGCAGCAGCCTGGTAAAACACAGCTACTTCTTGGGTTTTATAACTTCTGGCAAAGCCAAACAGAAAGAGCAAACCGAAGAATTTTGTGAGCCATTGCTTTCTTGAACTGAGGAGGAAAAATCAAGGAATTTAGCAGAAACAAGTGCACACAGGGGCCTAGTGATTTTGTGTGCCTCCATTTTTTAATGTTAATTTTGAGAAACCTGAAAGGGGGCCATTTACTTTCAGAGGGTGGGTGCTTGAAAGTCTACTTTAAGTTGCTTCAGTTTGGACACCCAAATCACTTTTGAAAATTTAGGCCAGGAGCACTGGATTCCTCATATTGCAACATTGGCCCCTCCAGTCCCCGGTCCTGGCAGTGTCTAGTATCCGGTGACTCACAACAATAGAAACCCACTGCTAAAGCACCAGGTCAGGAATACCTCACAGTAACTATTCTCACCTGACATCTGCAGTAGTGAGCTTATACCCTGAAAAAATCACAATGAAATGTTTGCAAGGTAGCTGACAAGGTTATACAGAGGATGGATATCTGTAAGTTTAGAATCCAGACACCAAAGGAGTTGTTTTAGGGAGATATTAATAGATGCATGTAATATGAAACATAAGACCTAAGACCAGAAGCCAAGTGTCTTCAACAGCTAAAGAAGTTTCAGCAGAGTGAGATGTCCTGGATCTGTCCTTATTAAATGACATCAAAAATATCCTCTTAAAATGTTTGTTTCTCTGCATCTTTGTCCACCAGCAAGTGCATAGCAGAAAGTTGGAGAATCAAGATAGTGAGGTTTCTACTGATTTGAATGATTGTGTTGTGATTCACAATGTCATCTTTTTATAAAACGTCCCAGCTGTCATCCTCTCTCTCATTCCTTCATGCTCTAGCTTCCCCTCTACAAGCTGTGGCCTGGCTGTGATTTTCAATAGCTTTTCCCCCATGACTCGGCCCCCTTTTAACTTTCAATTTCTATTAAAAAGCTAATTTGGGAGCTCATTTTTAATGCTCCCAATTTTGTATGTTTAAATAGAAAATGAAAGTCAAAAGCAAACTAGCTGCAAATGAAACATCAGTGAAAAACTTTCTTTCTTTCTTTCTTTCTTTCTTTCTTTCTTTCTTTCTTTCTTTCTTTCTTTCTTTCTTTCTTTCTTTCTTTCCTCCCTCTCTCCCTCCCTCCTACCTACCTACCTACCTACCTAACTGTGGCTCTCTGTAGCACTTCACTTATAGCTAGGCCATTTTCAGCTTACACATGCACTAACAGAAACTGATAGCATTCAATTTAGAGGTTTTGTGTGTATATGTCTTTTATTTTTAAATAAATATGGCAGGCCAGTCAGGGTAAAATATTGTTGATAGCTGCAGACAGACCACTGGTGGGGCAAAGAGCAGTAGGAGTTTAGGAAACAAAAGATAGCAACAGGGAAGAGGTGGGATATGAGGGCAGGAGAAAGGAGCAGGCCTTGGGCAATTATGTTGAAAGTTGTAAGCATATCTGGAAAACAAAAATTAAAAAGGCTGTGTTTTGTGCAGAGGCGTGGCTCAGGAGACTGGAAATGGGAGATGGATTCTTTTTAACCTTAGTCTTTGAGTCCAGTACAGACCAGAAGTGACCAAAATTGCTTACCAGCTGACAGCTGTTCGGAAGCTCTTATGAAATAAGATGGTTGGCTAAGTCCAGTATCCAGTGGGACAGATGCCCACAACACATCAAAAAAGTCTCCATATGCCACAATTGCCACAAAGCCCTCTACAGTTTAATCTACTCTATCTATACAACCTATTATCACAACATCATCTCCCACCTTCACTCCACTGGGATGCCAGCCTCTACCCCCAATTGTCCCATTCTCCAACAAGCAACTTTCAAACTTTCTCCATGAGAAGCTCCCATAGCAAATCCAGTATCTTCTCCTTCTTATGCCCCTTCTTAAAACTCCCTTCTTTGATAATGCAGTCAGGAAACTGCAACCTGATAATGGCTAAGCAGGTGGCAAGTGGTGAGCACTGCTTCTGAGTGGCTAAGAATTGCACACATCCTATTATGTGTGTTACTCCATCTCCCTCACCCCAGCCTGTCCTGTTTGTTCATCCCATACACGTTTTTTGTGTTGTCTTTTAGAAGGTAAGCTCTGTGCACCACCGAGCGCAATGGGGTCCAGTCTGTTTGAGACTTTTACTGCAATCTAAATATATACAGTTATTATTGTTATTAGTATTATTGCACCCAGGCTGACAGTCTCAGAAGCGATACTGAGTGTCAAGTAGGCCATAGAGACAAAATATCTCTCTCAGCCTCTTGGCATGGTCCATCCAGGGCAACAGTGAGGAACACTGGGACTGCAGTATGTTGGGGAGTATACACTGCTGCTGCCCCTGCTGTGCCTGTGTCAATAGAGAAAGGACATCAGCTTCAAGGTGAGCACCTGAAGAAGAAAGTTAGCCAAGGGCATAGGCACTTTAGTAATACAGCACAGCTTAAAGTACGGCTCAACCACAGAGACAGCAAGCAGGATAAGAATGCAGGTTTAGATAATACTAGTAATACTGCCTGTTAGCCAATGGCCTCCCAGCATAGCAGAGATTACTCTGTCATAGGGTGCAAACAATTAATTTCTTTCCCTTACTTCCTTTCCCTCTAGGGCTGGGTCCAAGCCAAAATCTCACTGCTGAGCTCCTGTGAACTCTGAGAAAGTCTGAATCAGCATATGGATCCAAACGTTGAGGTTTGGGCACATTTGTACTTTCCTCCCCTTACTCTATGTTCCTTTCTGATTTGAGAGAGGGGCACTGGGTTGGCACAGGGAGGGGCATACTGCATCCTATCACTTGGCACCTCCTTTTCACCCTCTGTCAAGTCTTTCTACCCCAGATCATGTTAGTTAAAAAGTGAAATCGACCTGCTGCCAGCTGCTTTGCTGAATCATGGTTGGTTTGGAAAGAAAATCCAAAATGGAGGATAGTCCATAGAATGATATAGCCTCTTCTACAGAGGGATTCTGCTAATTAGGGGTAGGTGGTAAGATTCATACATAACTGGTACCAGTTAGTCTGGGTTAACTCTAGAAGCTGGAAAGACCCAGCCTGAAAATCTCAGGCTGTCAAAAGACTGCACAGTTGCTTAGAGTTATGTGCATGTTAAGTGCTTTCCTGGATCACCGACTAATAGAACTAAGAAACTACTGCTCACTTTTACAGGAGTTGTGCAAGTTGCACAGCAAGATTGTGGCTATTCTGGAGACCTTGATCAAACATCAAATTATTTTTCCCATTTGGATATGGTAGACAAGAAAAGCAAATGACAGTTACTGATGTGTTTACCTTTGGCTTGAACATAAATTAGTTCTCAGGGTCATATCTTTATATTGCAAATTGTTACTGTAAACAATTAAGTTAAAATCAATCTGATTACATGTAGCTGTTATGGAGAATGAAATCATGATCAGTTACTTACCAATCCTGTGCAAATGCCTGCCCTTTTACAGTGTGTGGACAAAGACTCATACAATTGTATGGGCTAAAATACAGCATTGTTTAAGAAAGTATTCTGCTTTTTCTTCAGTGACTTGTATAACCTTCACCAAATTCCATACAACTCATATTTACGGAGCTGCAGATTAATAAAGTCAGTTCAGGAAGGCAGGTTCATTAATTATTTCATACATTGATGTGAAGAGAGCGATGGAAATTTGGATACATATTTTACCCCAGGCATCTCCTGCTAGCAGATATTTGGAAACAAACATGGAAGCTGTTTTAAATGCTAGATGAAGAGAAATTATTAAAAATAATGAGAACATCTTGAGTCAGCTAGATAACATGTCATCACTGTTTGGCAAAGCAAATGGACAGGAGCAGGAGAAGGGACAGTGGAGAATGTGAATAAGGAAATGTAATTTACCCCTTCACATAACCCAAGAAGCAGGGGTCACCCAATGAAATTAATAGGCAGCAGGTTTTAAAACAAACATATAGTCTGATCAGCTATGGCCATCCTGAGGTTCTTTTGACCACCCACCCACCCACCCCCAGCAAATTAATAGGGCTGAAAATTTCAAAGCTGCTTCAGGGACTCCCAGACTGGGATTTTTAATAAAGTCCAATGGAGTTAGGCACCCAGTTTCACTGATTTTCAATGGGAGATAGGTACCTAGCTCACTTACGATCATTTGAAAATTCCAGCCCTACTTTGCATTAAGGTAAATCCAAATCTCCTGGGTGAGTTTGAATATCTCAGCCTGCATTATTATAATACCTTTCATATGAGACTCTTAAAACACTTTACACACAGCCCTGGGCTCACAAAACCCACGGACAGTAGGTATGTATCATCATATCCTTTTAGAGGTGCTCATATCAGCACACAGGAATGTTATGTCTGGTACAAAATAACACTGTGATTAGCTGATGTCATTAGGAATAGATCCCAGGAGTCCTGATTCCCAGCCCCAATCCCTAACCACTATTTAATACTGCCTCTACATTGCAAACTATATCAGACGTCATTAAGCAGTTTGATTAACATTTAACTCCTTCCTGTTTGATCTAAAATAAAGTATTTTTTTCAATATTTTTTAAATTTTCAACTGTCAGAAATTAAAGATGAACCACAGAATGTGGTCTAGTGGTTTGAGTAGGAAGTAGGGAGTCCTGTATCCACTCTTGGCTATGCCACCAGCTTGCTGTGTAACCTTGAGGCAAATTGCTTAGCCTCTCTGTGTCTCAGTTTACATCCATATAAAATGGGCAAAACAATACTTATCCACCTCAAAAGGGAGGAGGAGAGGGCTGAGTGAATGAATGAATGAATGATTTGAAATGTTTTGAAAAGCATTTTGAAAATGAAAAGAACTGTAATAGAGAAAAAAACTGCAAATGATTTCAGCTCTGTTCTTCTGAGAAAATGCTTACCTATTGCATCAGAATCATTTTTAAAATTATTTGTTTTGTATCAAAATAGTATACATGTCATCTACTTGAGAATAACTCTAGAACTACTTTGCTATACAAAAGCATATGGAGGGTTAAGAGATCAGTCCTACACAATCTATCTATCTATCTATCTATCTTGCTGACAGTGCAACTTGAACAGGACAATCCTACTGTCAGGGTGCCAATGCCTGAGATGATGGGGCGCCCAGGATTTCAAGGTTTATGGATCTTGGGTAGTAGATAGAATATCCCAGGTCGGGGTTCGAGGGGTGTGTCTGTGCAGATTTGATCTTGTGCTTTTTCAGGGAGTTTCTTGAGCAAATGCTGTAGTTTCTTTTGGTAACTCTCAGTGGGATCAGAGGGTAATGGCTTGTAGAAAGTGGTGTTGGAGAGCTGCCGAGCAGCCTTTTGTTCATATTTGTGCTGGAAATGACCCAACTTGATTATCATACACATTGTAAGGACAGTGATCACTTTAGATAAGCTATTAGCAGCAGGAGAGTGGGGTGGGAGGAGGTATTTTTTCATGCTTTGTGTGTATATAAAAAGATCTTCTACACTTTCCACAGTATGCATCCAATGAAGTGAGCTGTAGCTCACGAAAGCTTGTGCTCAAATAAATGTGTTAGTCTCGAAGGTGCCACAAGTACTCCTTTTCTTTTTGCAAATACAGACTAACATGGCTGTTACTCTGAAACCTGTCATTATGCAAGGCACTGCATTTAGCCGTATGGAGTGGAAATCTATCAACTGCATGAAAAAACTTGTACAGATACAGACAGACATCTTCCTTTCCAAATGCAAACAGATGGACATCGTACCAAAAGGACTGAACGTAAAAAATCCATTACAATCTACATACCACACAGACTATGCTGACAGCTTGTGCCACACACTCTCAAAGAAACTGCGGAACCACCTGATCAACATCCTCTACAGCAAACAGGGAAAGATTAAGAATGAGCTCTCAAAAATGGATACTCTCATAAAAAACCAACCTTCCACACAAACTTCCTCGTGGCTGGACTTTACTAAAACTAGACAAGCCATTTACAACACACACTTTGCTTCTCTACAAAAGAAAAAGTACACTAAACTTTCTAAACTACTACATGCCACAAGGGGCCACAGCAATGGTTCCCTCAACCCACCCAGCAATATTGTTAACCTATCCAACTATACTCTTAGCCCAGCAGAAGAATGTGTCCTATCTCGGGGCCTCTCCTTCTGCCCCTCCACCCCCACGAACATGATACAGTTCTGTGGTGACCTAGAATCCTATTTTCGACAGCTCCGACTCAAGGAATATTTCCAACATACCTCTGAACAACATACTAATCCACAGAGACCTCCCTACCAACACTACAAAAAGAAGGATTCTAGGTGGACTCCTCCTGAAGGTCAAAACAGCAGACTGGACTTCTACATAGAGTGCTTCCGCCGACGTGCACGGGCTGAAATTGTGGAAAAGCAGCATCACTTGCCCCACAACCTCAGCCGTGCAGAACACAATGCCATCCACAGCCTCAGAAACAATTCTGACATCATAATCAAAAAGGCTGACAAAGGAGGTGCTGTTGTCATCATGAATAGGTCAGAATATGAACAAGAGGCTGCTCGGCAGTTCTCCAACACCACTTTCTACAAGCCATTACCCTCTGATCCCACTGAGAGTTACCAAAAGAAACTACAGCATTTGCTCAAGAAACTCCCTGAAAAAGCACAAGATCAAATCCGCACAGACACACCCCTCGAACCTTGACCTGGGATATTCTATCTACTACCCAAGATCCATAAACCTTGAAATCCTGGGCGCCCCATCATCTCAGGCATTGGCACCCTGACAGCAGGATTGTCTGGCTGTGTAGACTCCCTCCTCAGGCCCTACGCTACCAGCTACCTTCGAGACACCACTGACTTCCTGAGGAAACTACAATCCATCGGTGATCTTCCTGATAACACCATCCTGGCCGCTATGGATGTAGAAGCCCTCTACACCAACATTCCACACAAAGATGGACTACAAGCCGTCAAGAACACTATCCCCAATAATGTCACGGCAAACCTGGTGGCTGAACTTTGTGACTTTGTCCTTACCCATAACTATTTTACATTTGGGGACAATGTATACCTTCAGATCAGCGGCACTGCTATGGGTACCCGCATGGCCCCAAAGGATGCCAACATTTTTATGGCTGATTTAGAACAACGCTTCCTCAGCTCTCGTCCCCTAACGCCCCTACTCTACCTGCGCTATATTGATGACATCTTCATCATCTGGACCCATGGAAAAGAAGCCCTTGAGGAATTCCACCATGATTTCAACAATTTCCATCCCACCATCAACCTCAGCCTGGTCCAGTCCACACAAGAGATCCACTTCTTGGACACTACGGTGCTAATAAGTGATGGTCACATAAACACCACTCTATACCGGAAACCTACTGACCGCTATTCCTACCTACATGCCTCCAGCTTTCACCCTGACCACACCACACGATCCATCGTCTACAGCCAAGCTCTGCGATACAACCGCATTTGCTCCAAACCCTCAGACAGAGACAAACACCTACAAGATCTCTATCAAGCATTCTTACAACTACAATACCCACCTGCGGAAGTGAAGAAACAGATTGATAGAGCCAGAAGAGTTCCCAGAAGTCTCCTACTAGAGGACAGGCCTAACAAAGAAAATAACAGAACGCCACTAGCCATCACCTTCAGCCCCCAACTAAAACATCTGCAACGCATTATTAAGGATCTACAACCTATCCTGAAGGATGACCCAACACTCTCACAAATCTTGGGAGACAGGCCAGTCCTTGCCTACAGACAGCCCCCCAACCTGAAGCAAATACTCACCAACAACCACATACCACACAACAGAACCACTAACCCAGGAACCTATCCTTGCAACAAAGCCCGTTGCCAACTGTGCCCACATATCTTTTCAGGGGACACCATCACAGGGCCTAATCACATCAGCCACACTATCAGAGGCTCGTTCACCTGCACATCCACCAATGTGATATATGCCATCATGTGCCAGCAATGCCCCTCTGCCATGTACATTGGTCAAACTGGACAGTCTCTACGTAAAAGAATAAATGGACACAAATCAGATGTCAAGAATTATAACATTCATAAACCAGTCGGAGAACACTTCAATCTCTCTGGTCACGCGATTACAGACATGAAAGTTACAGACATGAAAGTTTTAAATGCTGACATTGACTGTATTTTGCATGATTATTTGTTCTGTATTTATAGTCTGTATTTCTGTCATGTACTTCTATTGCTTATTCTTTACATTAGGTACTATCATGCATTACTTCTGCATGTAGATATTGCATAGACTTCAAGCCCATGCTGTGTAAGCATTTTGTAATGACAGTTACAGCAATAAAGCTGGCTTGCTAGTTTAAAATTACAGCTTGCTATAATACTGTAGCTTTGTAGTATGATTGGGCCCTATAGACTCTGCGAATCCCTGCTCAGATCAAATCTTGTGAAAAATTCTGGGTAGATTAAGGAAGTGTCACTCATTTGATTAAACTAAGGAGTCCGTTTTTGCAATCTAAACAGTTATAGTCTAGTGCTCAGAGGCACCTGGAAGGCACAGCTGCTTGAATGTATGTCTGGTTCTGTCACTGAGTCCTTTCAGACCTCAGCTAAGTCTCTTAAAGTTCTCTGTTCCTTAGTTTCCCATCAATAAAATGGGTATAATAATTTTTACTGACCAAAAACAGCTGTTGTGAGAATTTATAAGTGTTTATAAACTGCTTGGATGAAAGGTGCTGTATAAAAGTACAAAGCAGTGACTGATCGATCGATTAATCAATCTATCTATATCACATTAAGATACTTAACCAGGGTGTGATTTTTGTAATTCAGGTAAAAGAACTATCAATCTATCTATCCATTTGCAGTGTTGAGGTAGCTGTGTTGGTCCCAGGATATAAGAGGGACAAGATGAATGAGGTAATATATTTTATTGGACCAACCTCTGTTGGTGAAACAGAGATGCTTGAGCTCTCCGGAGCTCGAAAGCTTGTCTCTCACCAACAAAAGTTGGTCTAATAAAAGATATGACCTTACCCAACTTCTATTTGTTATTCAGGGAGTAGAACTATCTATCCATTCACCCTGTAGCACTTCTAATGTATCTCTCATTATGACATGTGAACACCCACCCTAGATACTAGAAGTGAATAAATGAAGAAAAGTCATGAGCAGTTTCTATCAGTTGTCCAACAAATGTGGTAACACCTATCTGTCATTTCCCATAAAATCTCTCCATGCCTTAGGCACAGCAGAATGAGGAGTTCAAATAATTTTCAGACTTGTATGTCTAGCTAATATATATATATTTTATCACTGGTAAGGCAGTGGCCTGGAACTGACAACATTCAGCCTCTGATCAAGGTGTTAAGAAATACATACCGTCTGTATGTTTTCTCTTTGTGATAAATCTGACAGCTCAGTACAATGCCAGTTGGATGGGAACAGGGGAGTAGTATGAAGCTAGTCCAGCCCTTCCTTTGGGTTACCATACCTCAGACATTTCAAGCTGTATTTCATGCATCAGGTGTTGCCACGTTTACTATTATTTATCATTTAAGTTGTGGTAGCACTTCAACCAGCTATGGACCTCATTGTGCTAGGAACTACGCATTTGATACCAAATAACAATCCCTGTTAATCACAGAGCCTATCAATCATTTAAAAGGACTTCAAGATTTAAAAAAATATTTCAAACAACATTAGTGTGTGTATGAAATTCCATTGGGGGGATATAGCTGATCTAAATTGGTACCTGCCTGAAGGATGCTGTGTTTAGGGATGAAAATTGGTTGTTGGTTTTTTACCAGTTGGGCTGTTTCTAGCATTCCACTGGGTACCACATAACACTAAGTTTTTCAGTGTGCTGTGGAAGTGGCTCTAGAATGTGGAATGAGTTTCACAGCTTTGCCTGACTAACAGGAACAGTCAGGATATCCAGGCTGCTTGTGGCTTAAAGAAAACCGGGAGTGACTAGTTACAAAAGCTTGGAGAGTGATAAATGTTTCACTCCATACCAAATGGATTTTTTCTGCACATGGAACAATAACACCCTGCAAGAGAGGAAAGGGTGGGTAATTCTGCCCTTGTGATATTTCAATTATTCTTTTTGCCTGTATATTTTTATTAGAAACATAAGCAATATACTACTACTGGACCATGGTGCAGTAGCCTGTCTCTCACCACTACTAGTTAGAAACCCAGGGCAGGTCTGAATCCCAGGCATGCAGAGCTGCCGGGTGGTAAATACCTCCATGCTTCCATCCTGCCAAGATAGTGGCTGTCATTCCCCTACTCACATAAGAACACGAGAAGAACATAAGAATGGCAGTACTGGGTCAGACCAAAGGTCCATCCAGCCCAGTATCCTGTCTGCCGACAGTGGCCCAGGTGCCCCAGAGGGAGGGAACTTAACAGGTAATGATCAAGTGATCTCTCTCCTGCCATCCATCTCCACCCTCTGACAAACAGAGGCTAGGGACACCATTCCTTAGCCATCCTGGCTAATAGCCATTAATGGACTTAACCTCCATGAATTTATCTAGTTCTCTTTTAAACCCCGTTATTGTCCTAGCCTTCACAACCTGCTGTGGACACAGGCTCTGGGAAGTCCCACCTCAAGGGCTCTGATAGACAGCAGCCTCCTGGCTCCTGATTGGCTCCTCTCCCTGTATAAATCCAGAGGGCAGTTGCGGTAGCGTTTAGGCGGAAGAGAGGCCTAAGGAGCAGAGTCCAGATCCTATCTCAATATGCACTTCACTACAGTCTGCAGGTACTTGGACTTTAGCGGGGGTTGGTTTGGGGCTGTCTCCAACTTACAGCATGTTAAGTTTTTCCCAGTACACTTGTATTTTTTCCTACTTGAAATGAAACCCCCATAGACAGCTGCATTCTGCCACTTGCTTCCAGAAGGAGTGAGGGGAATGGCATGGATGATGTGCAGAAGCCCTGCTATCCAGCCAGCAGCTGCAGCCTTTTCTGCTCCACTGCCCTTAATGATTCAAGAAGAGCTCACCCATGATAGCATAGAGAGATGACCCTAGAAGGGCAGTAGTGATTCCAAATCAATGCTTTGATTTATTGTGTTCTGTATTGCTGGGGATGTGTTGTGGCTTTTTCAACCCAATATTCTTTTCTTCCCTGTGCACTTTGCCACATGCTTCCTCAATTTCTTTTCATAGAGCGAGAGAAGTAAAAAACCCTAGCTAGTAATGCTGCCCGATTGCAATATCTCGTCAGGGATTGTGCTTAATTGACCATGCTCCACATCATCACCATCCAAGCATTTAAGTAATGAGAGTCCAGTGTTGACAACATTCCTGATTACATACAGGGCGGTGTGTATTGAGAGGCAGCTGGAGAAGGTCTGATTGGAAAACAAAGCTGGGGTGAGCCAGGAACATAGGGCTGTTCAGGAGCAGATTGGTGGGCTGACTGAAATAAGGGTGGTGCAGAGTCCATTAGCAGCGCAAGGAGTGGAGCTGCATGGATGCTTATGACCTGCTTGCGAGATAATGGAATTTGTGACTTGGTTGAAAGGCTTATGCGGATGCTTTCTAGAAAGCCGTTTAGACACAGCTCTGTTTTTTCCATCACGCATTTTCAACACTTCTTTAATGACGTCCATTATTACAAGGGATTTTTGCAGGGAAACAGGATCACTTCTGCAGGAGAATTCATCTATGCTAGGCTGGTTTTCAGAAGGCCAATGGCATTTTGGGATGTATAAGTAGGGGCATAGCGAGCAGATCGAGGGAAGTGATCATTCCCCTCTATTCGACATTGGTGAGGCCTCATCTGGAGTACTGTGTCCAGTTTTGGGCCCCACACTACAAGAAGGATGTGGATAAATTGGAGAGAGTCCAGCGAAGGGCAACAAAAATGATTAGGGGTCTGGAACACATGACTTATGAGGAGAGGCTGAGGGAGCTGGGATTGTTTAGCCTGCAGAAGAGAAGAATGAGGGGGGATATGATAGCTGCTTTCAACTACCTGAAAGGGGGTTCCAAAGAGGATGGCTCTAGACTGTTCTCAATGGTAGCAGATGACAGAACGAGGAGTAATGGTCTCAAGCTGCAGTGGGGGAGGTTTAGATTGGATATTAGGAAAAACTTTTTCACTAAGAGGGTGGTGAAACACTGGAATGCTTTACCTAGGGAGGTGGTGGAATCTCCTTCCTTAGAGGTTTTTAAGGTCAGGCTTGACAAAGCCCTGGCTGGGATGATTTAACTGGGAATTGGTCCTGCTTCGAGCGGGGGGGGTGGACTAGATGACCTTCTGGGGTCCCTTCCAACCCTGATATTCTATGATTCTATGATTCTATGATTCTAAGTACTGACTGAGCACCCACCCAGGAAGCCAATGGGAGCTGTGGGTGCTCAGGCTCTCTGAAATGTCCAGAGTAATGCCACTAGCTCCAGCGGAGTTTTTCTGGATCTGGCACTTCGGGTGTTCCTGCAATCAGAATAAGGCCCTCAGAATCATCAGGATTATCAGTGGCTCTCAAGCACTTCATATGTATCAGTGAATTAAGCTTTGTAAAATCCCTAGTTAGTAGGAACATGTTGCTATACCTCTTTTATAGATGGATAAATTGATACACAGATCAGAAAAGGATCCAGTTCCTTCATTATCAATAAACCGGGCCTGGTTCTCCCCTTTCTTATGCACTATAAGTCAGATAACTTCAGTGAAGCTGGTGGAGTTAAAATCAGGGCAAAAGTGAGTGAAAGGACAATCAGGCCTCTCGACTTTAAGCTGAAAACCCTGTGTGTGTTTGTGTTGTGCTGCCTAAAACTGTCCCCTGATTGTCTTGTGGTCTAGGTAAAGTATCTGACTACTCCAGGCATGGTTTCTTTTGCAAGGTTCTAGTCCCACCCAGGTGGGAAGTTTTACAATTATGAGCCAACCACAATTACAAAACACCAAACCAAGCAAAGCATGTACTGCTTGCACCTCTTTAATTTCAAAATCATTGTGTTAAATGGTCACCATCAAAGCAAACTTCCACTTACCTGGAAGCTGAGAAAGCAATTAAAGAAGAAAAATGATAAGTGTTTCATTTTAAAATGATTGGATTATTTTTATGGTTATGAAACTGGAGTCATGCTGAGGGTTTCAACGCCTGAGTCAACGTTACAATTGTGGGTCCTTTGTGGCTCGTAACTAGTAAATCAGATCTATGGAACCATACATTTACTGCAAATTTAAGAAGTTGTTCTTTAATTTTTAAGTGTATGTGTTAAATCATGTCAACAGGAATATAGATAGCCTGCTTTGCTTTCATTTATGAGAATCAATGTTGTACCACAGGGAACTTTTTTTCTCTGCTTTGCCGATTTATTCTGCTTTTTATTATTGGTTATGAGTTCCCCCAGTCACGTGTCTGGCACATACACTAAACAAGTGTATATTGGGCCTGGTTTTCCCAGGGCTTTGTACTTCATGTAGTCAGTAACTCCTGAGCTGAGTGAGTGAAGACTACTGCCCTGATGTGCTAGTGCTTTACACAGGTGTAACTAGAACAGGAGGACTTGTGGCACCTTAGAGACTAACCAGTTTATTTGAGCATGAGCTTTCGTGAGCTCACAAAAGCTTATGCTCATGAAAGCTCATGCTCAAATAAATTGGTTAGTCTCTAAGGTGCCACAAGT